TTAACTCGATTTCCTCGAGTGGTATCACAAGAGTCTCGTCGGATAGAACACTTTTTCAAGTTTGAAACGTTTGGAGTTAGGATGAATGTTACTTAGTTCTTGGGGTAATCGAAGTTTGTAAGCTACAGGGCCAATTCGGGCAAGAATCTCGAATGGTCCTATGTACCTTGGATTCAGTTTGTCACGCTTTTTAAAGCGTATCATGCCCTTCCAGGGTGAGACCTTTAACAAAACACGGTCACCGACCTGGAATTCCAAGGGTTTTCTCCTTTTGTCAGCGTAGCTTTTCTGTCTATCTCTGGAAGCTTTAAGTCGCTCCCGAATTTGTACGATCTTCTCGGTAGTTTCCCGAATAATTTATGGACCAATGAGGGTACTGTCAGGAGTTTGACCTCTAGCAGGCTGCGTGTCACCCACTTCAGCCCAGCACAGAGGGGATCTGCACTTGCGGCCATAGAGGGCTTCGAATGGAACAACTTTTATGCTAGTGTGATAACTGTTGTTATAAGAGAACTCAACAAGGGGTAAATGAATATCCCATGCCTTTCCAAAGTCTATCACGCAAGCTCGTAACATATCTTCTAACGTTTGAATCGTCCTCTCACTTTGTCCATCGGTTTGCAGATGGTAGGCTGTACTCATGTCTAGCCTAGTTCCAGAGAGTTTTGTAAAGACTGCCAAAAACGAGAGGTGAATCTACTATCTCTGTCCGAAATAATAGATATCGGCACACCATGCAGTCTAACAATCTCCTTGAGGTATGTTCTTGTTAGCTTCTCCATCTTGTCAGTCTCCTTGATTGGTAAGAAGTGTGCGGATTTGGTTAATCTATCGACGATTACCCAAATAGTATCATAACCACTTGATGTCTTGGGTAACTTGGTTATGAAATCCATTGTAATCCGTTCCCACTTCCATTCAGGGATTTCAGGTTGTTGTAATAAACCTGAAGGTTTCTGGTACTCTACCTTAACTTTGGCGCAAGTAAGGCACTTGCCCACAAAGGT